TAATCTACATGCGTGTACGGGCCCCATCCTCAAAATGGGCGCTCTTATCCTTGTGGCATCCACGTATAGGCCCGCCAATGTTTTTTACGGGTAAGCTGCTAACTCGGAGATCTGAGAAGCTAGAAAGCTGAAACTTTGCGGGAATGTTACCCAATCGAGTGGGCATTAATGTGCTCAAACCTAGCCCCGGGGTAGGCGTGGTACCCACGTATGGGTTCGCGAAAGTTTACGGGCAAGTTGGTAACTCGGGAGCCTGAGAAGGTAGAAGACTGGAATTTTGAAGGGATGTTTTCTGACAGTCCTGGCGGTCAGTCTGAAATTCTTTTAGCTAGAAACATCTGCCGGAAAAACCAGTGCCGTTAGCGACAAAAGTTTGCAGGGAGCAGTGCAAAAAACGCATCCTCGCACGAGCAGTCCGTGCGTTGGCCAATTTTAATTTTTTTGTCGAAAAATCGAAAGAGAATATTTTGAAAAAATTCCAGAACTCGCTTCTCCGTAACTAACAGTTTAAAAAAATATTACTTATCTTTAATCAATTACAGCAACATCCAATTCTGGAACAGTTTGAAACTAGCCACACAGACAATCCAGAAATTACAGTTTTTCATGTCAAATATTACAACTAAGTAGTAGATGGCATAGTGCTTACCACTTAAAATTCTGGGCGATAGAACTAACTGCGACCTTCCCTCCTCCTTCCTCTCCCGCTTTCTTACAGGGAATATCCGAATAATTTGCATCAGAAACAAAAAAATGTCATAACAAAATTCCACAAAGTACTAATTTTTTTTAAAAATAATTGTAAAAAAAAAAAAAAACAACTGACCAACAAGGGTTTTAACACACTGGCCATTAGCGGTATCCCAAATTCGAACAAGGCCATCATAACTACTTGAACAAATCAACGTCCCATCTCTGAAAGATTCGCATTTTGGACAAAATCCAGCGTAATTCTGCGTGTGCAAAACAAGCATTATTCTCCCTCTCACAAATGTATTTTTCATCGTTCGTGAGAAAAGTTTTGTAAGCAACGGAGGAAGACAGGAAAGAGGGATTGTTTTTCAGTTTGTGACGGAGAAAATAAAACAAAAAACATCAACACTATGGTACAACTGCTAATAAACATTACGCAAAGCATCGCTGTCTACATAGTTAGAAGACTGGAAGAAATTCCTAGCAAAAAAGTCTTCCCTTTAAAAAAGCAACAATAAATTAAGACAGCTCAGACTTCAGCACTGATTCCCACCAAAGCACTGCAGGCGGTAACTTCAAAGCACACTTATTTCTACCTTACTTTTCTAGATAATGATGGACTGATGCTGCAGAACACTGAATGCGTAGCTTGCGCTGTCTTCAAAATTTGAGATTAGGTTGAAGTTGAATAAAAGTTATGAGGTTGTTGGACAGCAATTTTTATGCGTTGCTGTGTAACAGCAGTACAAAACGCAAATTGTCAAGGAGTTGTCTGTGTGTGTTCGCAGCAACTTGTTCGCAACTTTTAACTCGGAAACCACAAAAGCTAGGAAGCTGAAAATTCAGTGGAACGTTCCCCACCTACGTGTGACCCTGCAAATTTAAATTCAGCTTCCCCGTACCCGCGGGTAACGCGTATGGCCCCGTAAAAGTTTTTTACGGGTAGGTTAATATGTCGGGAACCACGGAGTCCAGGTGGCTGAAATTTTAGGTAATGACCCCCCTGCCCACGCTTAACCTAGCCCATTCAAATTCAGCCTTCCCATACCTGCGGGTAACACATACGGCCCCGTGAAAGTTTTTCACGGGTAGGTTAATATCTCGGGAACCATGAAGTCTAGGAGGCTGAAATTTTAGGGTAATAACCCCCTGTCCCCGCTCAACCTTGCTCATTCAAATTCAGCGTCCTCGCGCTCTCGGGTATCACCTACGGCCTCGGGATTTTTGGCGGGTAAACTATTAACTCGGAAATCACGGAAAGATATTCGCCTAAGGCTCGTGAAAATTTTGGCGGATAAACTATTAATTCGGGAATCACGGAAAGATATTATCCTTCAAGGTTTCATATTCAACTTTATGCGCTGGTGCGTGAAATTTTTAACTGTTTTCCAATGTTTGAACTATTTTTGCATAGACTAAAGTATTATACAAAGCAATGAAAATCATTAATAGGCAATCGTTCGATGGGCTGAATGCACAAAACGCATGATCGCACCGGCTAGTCTGGTGCGCGTTGCTATTTATTACATTCAACCCTCGAAATTAAGTGTATGAAGGATCAAATCCAGGTGCCACTTCCCGACTATCTGTGTTTTTGCATCAAAGTTTCATTCTGCTTTTCACAGCAGTGAAGCAAGGAATAATAAAACAGAAAACACCGGTCAGTCTAATTAACATGTGCAATAAGACATGTTTCGATGCAGGCTGCGTTTCATCCCTTAGCTGTAAACATACACTGAAGGAGGAAAATGAAGGGGGAAAGCACCCTCTTTTCGTGTTCCAAAAACGAAGCACAATTGAGCATATTGCGACAGACCAAAAAAAAATGATGAATTAGTAGTAATAATTTATCACAGTGGGAAAGTTACTGTGATAAATCGTTTACTGATAAAGTTTCTGATAGTGTCGTGGCGTGATGTTGAAGAGGCACATTCTTAAAAATGATTTCTCTAGCATCAAACCTGTTAAAAGAAACAGCGGAGACGGGGTCCGAATGTGCCGGGAGTGTTTTTATGCAGGCGCCAGTCTTCACATCCCACACTCGAACACTCTCGTCGAATGAGCCGGAGACAATCAGCGAAGATTGCGGGTTAAAATTGCAACAGAACACATAATTACTGTGGCCTTTCAATGTTTTCATGCACTTGCACTGAAAATAACACATATTTTACTTCCGACCGTGGTTATTTTCCTCCTCCCTGGTGGTGCTAGGGCTCGTAACTTCTCCTACTAA